TGTCAGGAAAGCAATTCCACTGGAAACTTTGGGAAATTTTGCTTGCCGATCTTCAGAGAATTTTGTTGATATTCTTGCCCTCTCCCAGCATCACCCCAAATGGGTAAATTAATGAGACCAGAAAACAAAACAAAAAAGAGTCCAGCACTATAAAATTCACTGCTCAGCAGACATTTGACTATCGTATTGCACAAAAAGTAGGACAGACAATAATGCAAGGTATGCTTTTAAGGGTCGCCAATGTTCACAATGGTACAGTCATGAGCCATTCACAGCCAGTGCGATTCATTCGCATTTGTTCTCAGCTTACTACTTGGATTTTGCCAATGGGCTCTTGATTCTCAACAAGAGAGAAGATGGCATCAGCAATGCACAATGAGGAAGTCTCTTTGTTGTAGGGTGTATTTGGAATTAATATTTATAGCAATATGTGGGGCACTCTGGTTTTATTTTTTTCTCTTTGATTGTGGCTTTTTTTAGCCATTATTATATTTTCATACATCTGAAATAATATATGTAAAGGACTTTGAAACATGAAATGTGCTATGGAAGTGCTAAGTAGAGCTGCCAGCCGATTAAAGAAATCTTTGTTGATTAATCACATAAGTGTGTTGATTAATCATTTAAGCTGGAATAAATTTGCATATGATTTAAGCAGTCAATCTGAAGGGAAGAAAAACACACTTTATTTTGGGATACTGCATCATCTTAAAAGAGGGACAGGATGTGGTTTAGATGCTGTCGGAATGTTAGGCAAGAATCAGTCTTGTACCACTGGAACACTGTGAAATCCTCTGCTATTTCAGGTGAGCTGTTTGAGTATGATGCATAGTTTTAAAATAAACAACATTTTTTTTTTTAAAGTATCTTTCCTTCTGCATAGAATGAACATTTAATGTGGTGTTTTTATCTAAAAAGGAAGAAGAGGAGAAGAATCCACCCAGCTGTCAGATTGATGAATGCAACATTGCAACCTTCATCCTAAATGAGTTCACTAAGATGTACCAGGTTAAGAATTGTGACTGGCCAATATGATAATATGATGACAGTGCTTTGTCAGCTATATTAGCTTCCAGTTCATCTCTGAGCTCTATTCAAAGTGCTGGGATCAATCTTTGAAATCTTGTACAACACAATCTAAAGGACTATCTCCTGTACACATTTGTTTGTACCTTCAGGTTGTATTTGGAGGTCCTTCTCCAGGTTCCTCCACTGAAGGAAGCTAAGTGGGTGGTTACTAAGAAAACCCTTCTCAGTTGTGGCAGCCCAAATGTGGCCATCCAGAGAGGTTCATTTATTACTCTTTTATGGTACCAAGTAAATGCCTTTTTCCCTTCCTGGCATTTTGGATGCATCGTTCTAGACCTGGGAATCTCTTCTTCTATTCTGCACTCTCAGAGCAAACTCATGACTCCTGGGGAGCCATGTCGGTCATGCCATAGGACAATCGGAGTCGCTTCCTTTGAGGTGAGAGATGGATTTCACCTCCAAGAAAGAGATTCAGTCCTTCCCCAGGCTCTCCCAGAGAAAGTTTTACAGTAGCTCCAGGAGTGGATTGAGAAAGAGACAGGGAGGTTCCAGTTAGTAGGATAAGAAGGGAAGCGGCTGAGGAGCCTCTAGAGCCAGAGGCCTCTTGGCTGTGCATGGAAGGAGACAGGCTCAAGGACCCTCCTAGCAAAGATTAAGGGATAGCAAGACTGTAAAAGTCCCCATTGTTCTCCTGCCCCAGAAAGTTGACACAGCTTAAGATGTGATGTGCAGCAGGCCTGGACATCAGTGTCTTCCATCCGTCAGGCATCAATCCTAGTCTGCACCCCAAATAGATAAAAGGCTATTCTTGCAACTCTCAAATTATTGTTTTGCTTGGTACTTTAGCTTTTCAGCTGCAAGCCAGGAGAGGAATGTCAAATAGTTCAAGCATCAGGGCTAGCAGAGAGCTTTGGGACAACACAAAATTTCTGGGCATTGCCTCTGTTAGTTGCAGCCCACTCTGAAATGAATTCCTGAGGTCAGCTCTATTAAGTTAGTTTGATGTCAGGGTACACAGTACAACTACAGCTGTGCTGAACGAGTGCAGGGATGGGTACAAAATCTCCAAGGTTGTCATTGTACAGGAAATCCATTTCCTTCTGGGGCAGAGTAGAACAATCTTGAAGGATGAGGCAACATCATGGCTGTTTTGGCTGCCCTTGCTGCTACTGATATTACACACAAAAGTCTCGGACAGTGACACCAAGCAATTCTGCCTCTGCTATGGCAGTTTCCAAATATATGCCCATCTTATTTTTGATGTTGCTTTCCATGACAAAGCATAATATTAAATGTAAGTGAGGCAGTTCATAGTTCAGCCAAAACAGGAGGTGAGAGCTTTGATTTTGCAACAAAGGGGCATGGGAGGAGAAACAAAGAGATCTTAACCATATTCCTTAACTCCTCAGAGCCACTTTCTAAAAGTGTTCTGCTCTCAGATAAGGCTGCATGCGGTATCTGAGCTACACTCATGGGGGGGAAACACTTTGAGAGAAAAGCTGCAAGAAGGTGAGTTACGGGCAAGTGAAGCAAGAAGCTGCAAGAAGTTATGGAGGCACATCTCTTTTTGCACCCCAGTGCATCCCCTTTTGCCATTTAAATTAGATGCCCCACACTATCTGCTTGCCTCTTTTTGAATGGGACAGTTCTGCGATGAAACACTAGTTGGACCTTGACTGGGTCCTGATGAAAGCAAAGAAACAAATTGTATAGTTCCCAGACCTTTGAATAAGCAGATCAAATGGATTAGTGCTGGTCGGCATGGGCAGAATGTTTATCACACTGTGTCCTGTTGAGTTCCAATTAGGTAATTATTTTTCTTGTTCAGGAAGGATGTGAGAAATACATAGGTTGACACCAGGACAAAGAGGCAGCACACATCCTTCTCTGGCATTTCATGTTTTGATCCTTTTTAAGCCTACAAAAGTCAGTGCGACTGAGTTAGTTTAAACTCCAGCTCTTCAAGCTAAGCAGGGTTTGTTTATGAGAATTTCCAGTGTGCAACAGGCATGGGCACATGAAGTCTCAGTGTGACATGATTTGGAGAATACATTGTCTTTGAGATATGGTCTTTATTATTTTTTGTGTAACACAGATATTGGATAGAGCCTTATAGCAGCCCTCTGGTGGCTGATGGTTACTAGCACATCTTCAGCGCTTCAGGCAAGGTTGCTTCTCAGGCCAACTTGGCCATTGGATTGGAAAAAATGGTAGAACTTGTGTCTTTTTGGTATCATCTTTAGGTCCCTTGTCTGCATACAATTGTTACTGGAGGGCTATGGGCATCTCTTTCCCCAAGTCCTTAGCCTTCAGTTGTTAGCTATGATTTTAGATCAGCATGGAGCAGGTCTGAACCTTCTTAGAGTAGAGTTGTTTTTAGGACATAAAATCATGTATTGCCAGAGCTAGTCATCTCTTCCTGTTAGGGCAGCACTCTACTTGCCAAGGCTGCAGCTGGGATGTCTCACAATGCAGATCAGAATGAGTTGCGCCAAAAACCTCTCACGGCATTTCTGCCTCTTCACTGTCAGAGAAAGCAAACACAAGGGCAAAATGTAGCCCCTGTGATTTTGGTGCATGCACAGAGAGAGACAAAAAGCAGAGTCTCATCCCATCTCTTGCATCAAGATCCACACTGAAATGCACACAGTTTCTGTGTAGTTTAAACTGATAGACTGATAGTGCAAAAACATGAGATAATGCATTCCTTTAGTGCAGTCCACGTATCTTAAATACTCCCCTGGTATTCTCTGTTGCCTGCCAGGATCCTGCAAACTGCACTGAGGCTACTGAAGCTCCTCTGAGGTGATACACACAGAACTGAAGTGATTTTGTTCAGTCAATAGCATGCATTAGACTGTAATGTACTAAGAGACTTGGTACTGTCCTGTAATCTGACATCCATCTATTGGTTCTTGGCAAATGCAAAGAAATGACAGGCTATGACTTGATAGCTCTGCAAGTATGTTCTTTAAAGTAGTATATGAAGCACCTTTTTATTATTAAAATTGCTCTTCTCATCTGTGGCACTTCACAACATTCTGCTCTCTCTCAGCTAGCTCTTCAGTGTGTAATTGATATACATTTTCCTAGCCTTTTTGCTGAAGTGTTGCCAAATGAATATATGCCTGCAATTGGTCAGAGCCCACCAGTTATACACAATTATGCAAAATGTATTTGGAGGGCTTAAGGAACCTTCAGAACTGCAAGTAGCTCTCCTTTCTGAGGAAAAGCGTGTAAGAGAACAAGGTGTTACCTGTAGCAGGCATTTCCAGGGGCTTGCAAGCTTCATTTTCACTTTCTTTTGCAGGAGAGGACAGCAGCTTCCTGGCCAGCATCAGGGAAATAGGCTGGACTAATAGAGAAGTGAGGTTTGTTCGGCTCTCTTTGTAGCTTCCATCTTCACAGCGGGGGGTGGGGGTGGGGAACAGAGAAGAACAATTAAGTGACAATTCTGAAACTTTCTTTCCCACATTCCTATATTTCATCCAGACAAGTACAACTAAAATTGTGGAACAGCAAAATAAAGGCTGCCATGAGTGGCTGCCAAAACCAGCCCTGCTGCTCCAGAAGGCTCACTCCGTTTCATTTCTCAATTGCTCTGACATGAATGTACCCGCCGGCAGGGCATCTGGATGGTTTATGGGCAGATATAACTGTGACAAGACTATCTCTGCCCAGGAGGGAGTGCAAGCCAGCACATCAGCCTAAGATGGTGAAAGAACGCTTCCTACCATGTAGGCCATTTGGGCATCCAAAGAAAGAAGCCGGCACACACAGCTAAAGTCTGCTCCTGTTCACTACTGGAAAATACAGGGATGTTTGGGCCATCCAGCTCCATCCATCATCAGTCGCTCTGTGTCTTTCACATCCTACCTTTTGTCTTTTCCAGGAACTCAAGGTGGCTTACATAATTCACCTCTTCCTCTTAAGCTTATTCTCAAAGCAACAACACTGTAAGGTAGGTTGGGCTGAGTCACCCAGTGATCTCCATGGCTGAGTGAAGACTAGAACCCAGATCTTCTGTGTCCTGGTCCTGCTATCTTAAGCACTACACCAGTTTGACTCTCCAATGCTTAGGGTAAGTGGACGTCAGTATTAGAAGGAAAAATGTGGGAACTCAAAACAAAGATGCCTGTTTCAGTGAGTCAGCCAAGCTCGATGGTTCCTATTTCTCCACTACCAAGTACATTTTGATTGTGAGCTCTTATATACCTGCATGGGAAGACATTTTCTATGCATTTTTTTCTAAATGTATGTATTACACTCATTTCTTGAAAGTAGACATGTTTTAAATTTCATTTTCCCATTGGGAAAAACAGTTCTGTGTGCTTTTCTCCCAAATCTAGACATTTTTACATGCACAATTCAAATGTACAAATGTGGAGGCTATGCATCTTCCCACAACTCCCAAATCTCATTGCAAGCCTTAGAAATGCATGGGTTTCACCAGCAAAATGTATTCCGCTCACTGTTTCATCTCAGGAGGCACAACTTGCTTATTCTCACATAAAATGCAAACCCAACACATTCCTCACCCATCTCTTGTGCCAGCCTCATGTTTCTCTGCTCTGTCCTCAGAAACAATCCCCTTTAAAGGTTTGCTTTCCATCTGTAACCTGTACCTAATGAAATGACAACACGATTATACTTTGCTAAATTGCTTTAGAGGAAAGTCATGCTTTGTCGGTATTGAATAAAGTTAAATATGTATAAATAGCATAAGGGGGAAGCATATCTTTCCATTGATTTTTAAGAAATCTTTTGAATCCTTCCCATTATGCCCTAAAACAGCATTTTAATGATCTTTCCTTTCTTCTCCCGCCCCACACCATTTCCTTTAGAAAAGGAAAAGTTTGACTCTAATACTGAAGTGCAATTGTACCTACCACTTCTTTGACTTTCAACTACATTGCTAATAGAATTGTATTCATTTTGAAATAACTAAATTGAACGGTTCATTAATTTTTCACCTTAAGCATTATGGAAATTTGACAGTTTTATGCTGTGAACAGACACTCCAAGGAGGACTGTGTCATAGTCTAGGAAATTATAAATTACAACAGAAAACAAAGAATGGAAGAAGCTTGGGTGTTTTTGCCTCAGCCACACAACAAGTTGCGAATGCAATCTATCTACAAAACCCTTCTTCCATGCATATATGCTGGCTGCTCTCAAGGCCCAAGGATAATTTTGGGAGACCAGTACGGCACACAACAAAGAATCCACGTGCCATGACCTTATCCCAGTGTTTTAGTCATCAAGGGCAGCATCCTCTAGATTACACCCTCCATGTTTGGAATGACTGAACTCAGATGTTTACAAGGATCCAATATAAACCAGGCAGAAACTGTCTCCACCTTCCAGTGCCTCCAGGTGTGCATTTTAGCCCAACAGGTAGTTTCAGCCATGCCAACTGAGATGTTTTGGACCCTTTGTTTGCTCTCCTAAGCCAATTTCCTAATGTGGGAAGGAAGCCCAACATTGTTTGTTCTACACCAGCTGCGATCTGAACAGAAGGGCAGTTCCCATTTTGAAGATTGTCTCTGACCTCAGATCTGGGAAACCCAATTCTCTTATGGCCCACTAGATTGTATCTCAGGGTCACAGGGAGACTCTATTTTAAATTTCTACTTTATTTCTCAAATCACAAATAACACCGTGGCCCACATTAGGGGTTTTGCCTGGCTCACACTGTTTAAGACATCCATCCAGGAGGAGAGGCCCGCGTTGCCTGACTGTTGCTGCTTTTTAATAAGCCGATGTTGAAGTTTTTCTTGTTTAAAATAGTATCATAGACCAGAGCAATTAATTTCAATGTATTCCCCACTAACCCCTCTTACTACAAAATCATGAATTATGCACCAATGTCAACTTATTGTGCAAAGCAAAATATCTAGATGGTTTAAGGTAGACTCAGCAGCTACTCTCCTAATGCCCACTAGCCTCTGACTTCAGCAGCTTACAAGCATCTGATACAGACTGGGAGGGACAAAACAGAGGCTAATTCTGATGGCTGATCTCAGCCACTCAGCCGTGGCATTTGGGGGCAGGAGAGGAGGAGACCAGGACATGCCTCCTCTTCTCTGCACTTCCTTTTCCCGCTGATGGTTCAGGTTATAGCTTGACTTGCTTTGCCTCTGGTCTGGAGATTTTAAAAAGCCCAGACAATCAGGGAGGCAGTGCTTTGCAGAGATGAGGAGGAGAAAGTTAACTGACAGCTGGCAAGTTCAGAGTGGGTGAGAGTGCAGTGCTTGTAAAGACTTCAGGGGAGTGAGAGGTCCTAAAGAGTTGAGCTTCTCAAGAGAGGTAAAAGAGAAGAAGTTGACTTGATGGGGAGGGAACAGGAGGCTCTTTCAGTGTGCCAGAAGGAGCAGGTGAAACAGCTGAGCTTGCGTGTAATAAAGAACAGTACAGAAAAATAGGGAAGAGATTACTATTTGGGGAACGTTAGACTCAGACACTCTGTTTGGTTGCTTTTATGCATGCCAAGGTAGCCTTAAGCAAAAGGCAGGCCATTTGCCAGCTTACTTCTTTAGGTAGCTGGTGTTATTAATCAGGAAAAGCAAAAGCATCTTCATATACAATTCCTTTAATGTAAATCCAAGCTTTTCTGTGCTGGAAAAAACAGGCCTGTTTTATCACAGCCATTCAAAGGACATTTTCCAAGTTGTTTTTCAGGCAGTGAAAATGAACTGCTCGCCTGCTGTAATAGCACAAAGATTTTCCCAGGGTGAGCTGGTGCAGTCTGTGATTTTCAAATGTACCAGGATCAAGAGTGCATTTGAAAACCATGTATTGATTTGAAGCATGGCGGAGTGAAGTGGGCACCTTTCCCGGGGCACTATGTGCTTTTATGGCAGGCATAATGTTTAGTACTCAGATGGAGCACAAGATATCCAAAATAGAGTTTGCAAACCCACTTTGTTTAAAAACCATTTGATTCATTCCTCACCATTCTCTTTTACCAATTTGCATACTTTATCACACAACCATTCTGTGCTGTCTAAGAGTGTATGCCAACAGCTGGAAATTTCCTCATTCACCTCTTTGAACTTCTCAAACTTAGCACACCTTTGGACTTATCACAAACTTAAGCAATGCACCCTCTCTCAGTTTACCCTGTTGTCTGTAATCTGGCAATAATTCATGTCCTACACTACAGGAGTGTTGTGAAGATTACACTGGCAGTCAGCTGCATTTGGATATTATCCTATCTCTGATTTTATGAGATGGAGACCTTGGTCATGCCTGCTGGCTCTTCCCATTGACTTACAAGGGGTTCCAAATCATGGGGAAGTGGACTTTTATGGCCCTCTGCAGTCATGCTGCCCCAGTGCATGAAAGGTGGGAGAGGGCCCACCACGAACAAGCTGGTGCTAATCAAGTGAGCAGAGCAGAGCAGGGAAAGGAAAAAGTACAGCAAAGGGCAATGGAAATGATCAAGAGGCTGGACCTTCATAGAGTGGCTACAACAACTGGGAACACTGAACTTACAAAAAGGGTGAGAAAGGGAAGACATGTTAGATGTGTTAAAAAATACATGGAGTGGAAAAAGGGGAGTCGTAACTCTGGAACCTGAGGGTCACCTCATGAAGCTGTTTGGTGGGAGGTTTAGGAGAGATAACATGAAGTACTTCTTCACAGCATATACTTAAAGTATGGAATTCACTGTCACGGGAAGTGGTGATGATCACCAAGTTGGATGGCTTTAAAAGGGGACTGGACAGATTCTTGGGGGAGGAGACTAGCAGTGGCCACTAGCCTTGCTGGCCATGTGCTTCCTTTTTTACAAAGGGGGGAACGCTGCATAACCCAGTTGCTGAGGAGCTTGGGCAGGAGGAGGTCTTGCCCCCATCCTGCTTGAGGGATCCTGTGGGCAGCTGGCTTGCCACCATGTGTACAGAGTGATGGACTAGATGGACCTTTGGTCTGGTCCAGCAGGAACGTTCCTGTGCTCTTTTGTTCTTTATAGAGCTGAAAGAGGGCTAGTCAATCTGAAGCCTTTGGGACACTTTAAAGTACTCTGCACAATGGCAGTATTGACTTCTTCTGTATAAGGCATTCATTAGAGGTCATTCTGATCAAGATTTGTCCAGTTTGCAGTTTCCAACAGAACATGGTCACAGATGTAATCCAGACTTAAAGTCTGGGCTATGTAATTTGCATACCCCACCCCCTGAAAAATAATCTTTCACTGAAAAGCATGTGTACATTTGAAAAATGCACACACTTGCTTTGCTCAAGAATGGAGAAGAATGTGTGAGTTACGAAGATGGATACCATCAGTGTGCATCTTTGGAAAATAATCATAAAGAATATACATGGATTTGGGGGCAAATGGAAACCAAGAAGGCTTGCAAATTGAATAAGGGCTTGAGTCAGAAGAAGTTCTGAGAT